CAAAAGCAAACCAATGGCAAACCAAACGAAAAGCGAAATCAAACCCAAGGCAAACCAAAAGCAAACCAAACGCAAACCAAAGGCAAACCAATGGCGAACCAAATATAAACTAGAGGCAATCCAAGGGCAAACCAACGCTAATTCAAACGGAAACCAAAAACCATCAAAAAACCAAAGGTTAACCAAAAACAAAACAAAGGTTAACCAAACGCAAACCAAAGGCAAACCAAAGGCAGATCCAAAGCAAGCCAAAAGGTAAACCAAAGGCAAGCCAAAGGTAAACCAAACAAGTTTGTATTGGAGGATACTCTCTGGATGCTATCCTAACCCTTTCAATATGATTCCCGGGGCGGGTGGCCTCTGGAGTGTCGTTTGCGCTTTCCGTTGTTTGCCAGACTGGTTTGCAGGATCCCTTACATGCAGCCAGGTGCATGAAGGGGCTTCTGCACATCTGGACCAAACTCAGCAGGGAATCCACCACAACTTGCTTGTCATGGGCGGTAAGACATATTTCCCCCACAAGGAACCAATTGCTGGATATGGCACGTGGATCCAAGAAAACCTGGGGGCTTCTTTGAAAAGCAGCTGCCCGAATGCGTCTTTGCAGCGCAAGTTCTTTTGTGGACCACGCTGGGAATATCACAACAATTGTACTAAGCCCGACCACCTGTTTGTTTTGTTTTTTTGCGGGCGAAGCTCGCCCCTGTGAACCCGAGTGACTGACGCCTGCCTGCGAGTCTCCATGGCGCCCTCCTCCATCGAGGCCAGAAGCTCCGAGGGCTGGTCGCGAGCGCCCGCCACATGGACCACAAGCACCTGGAGAACCCCAAAACGGTGGGAGAGATGTTGTGGCAAGGGCCCCATTAAAAATACGTTTCCCCGCTCTCATCCTCATGCTCATCCTCATCCTCATCCTCCTCATCCTCATCCTCATCGTCGTCGTTCTCAGCATCGTCATCATCGTCAGCATCATCATCATCATCATCATCATCATCATCATCATCATCATCATCATCATCATCATCATCATCATCATCATCATCATCATCACCATCATCATCATCATCGTCATCCTCATCCTCATCCTCATCCTCATTCTCATCCTCATTCTCCTCATCCTCAGCATCATCATCATCATAATCATCATCATTGTCATCGGCATTGTCATCCTCATCCTCATTCTCATCCTCATCCTCATTCTCATCCTCATCCTCATTCTCATCCTCCTCCTCATCATCATCAGCAGCAGCAGCATCATCAGCATCATCACTATCATCATCATCCTCATCCTCATCATCATCATCCTCATCCTCATCCTCATCCTCATCCTCATTCTCCTCATCCTCATCCTCATCCTCAACCTCATCGTCGTCGTCATCATCATCATCGTCGCTGTCGGCATCGTCGTCATCGTCAGCATCAGCATCAGCATCATCATCAGCATCATCATCATCATCATCATCATCATCATCATCATCATTGTCATCGGCATTGTCATCCTCATCCTCATTCTCATCCTCATCCTCAGTCTCATCCTCATCCTCATTCTCATCCTCATCCTCATTATCATCCTCCTCCTCATCATCATCAGCAGCAGCAGCATCATCAGCATCATCACTATCATCACCATCCTCATCATCATCATCCTCATCCTCATCATCATCATCCTCATCCTCATCTTCATGCTCATGCTCATCCTCATCCTCATTATCCTCGTCCTCATCCTCATCCTCAACCTCATCCTCATCGCCGTCGGCGTCATCATCATCGTCACTGTCGCCATCGTCGTCATCGTCAGCATCATCCTCATCATCATCATCATCATCATCATCATCATCATCATCATCACTATCATCATCATCCTCATCATCATCATCATCACCAGCACCATCACCATCACCATCACCCATCACCATCATCATCACCATCATCATCACCATCATCATCACCATCACCATCACCATCACCATCATCATCACCATTACCATCACCGTCACCATCACCATCATCCAACCTCATCATCCTCATCCTCATCCTCAACCTCAACCTCATGAGCTGTTGCACAAGAACTTATCTATATATATATATATATGTTTTTCAAATCGCTAAAAAATCCAGTGTAAGCCTGGGTCTTCGGACTATTCGCCTGGGGAAGCTCCACTTTCTCAGCCCCATCTGGCACAACTCGCTTCCGGTGCTCGGCTTCATACACCGTCTGCAGCACGTGCTCGTCGCCCACATCCTCCTCCTCCGGCTTCAGCTTGCACAGGGCCTTGCCAAAAGACGCTGGATCTCAGCCCCAAGTCAGATGCTTGCGATCAAATCCAAGTCAGATGCTGGCCCCAAGTCAGATGCTGGATGTTAGAAATGCAAGGCGATACATCTGCAGAAGCTTGTTGGCCGTCTCTTGCATTCGTCTGATGTTCTTTTATCAGCTATGAAAATCGTCCATCGACGAGCATGGGCCTTGCACCAACAAAACCGGTCAAGCCGTTTGAGGATGATGCAAGCAGGTCGCCATACAAACAAAAATACGGCCATGGGAAAGCAAGATAAGGTGCGCGGCGTTCTTGATCTTGCTCATGCTCAGTAGGGAATGTCCCAGGGTGTTGGAATGAACCTAAGGATTCCCTGGCAAGAAACCGTAGGATGGATGCTCTAAATCGGGGTCATTCCATGTCTCATTCTCTGCCTGTCGAACCAGCAAGCAATTGCCCAGTCTCGGAAGGTCCTTCGGAAGGTGCTCCGTGAAATGAACAGGCCAGCTCTACATGCATCTCTCTCTCTCTCTTTCTATCTACCACCCTATCTATGTATCTTTCTATCTATCCATCCATCTCTCTCTCTCTATGTATGTATGTGTGTATGTATATATATATATATTTACCTATCTGTCTACCAATCTATCTATCTAACTATCTAACTATCTACCTATCTGTCTATCCTCCCGACGACGGCAGCCCCAGCCTTCTTCAAATTGCCTTTCCGTGTACCCGGCTTCCCGTAATGCGGCTTCGTGCTGATCGGGGGTGCGAAGCCGCCTGCGCCCATTGGAAGACATGGAGCAGGACTCGCCCGGTTGAAGCATTCTGCATACATACATAAAAAGAATACTCAGCAGTTCTGAATGCTTGAAACAACTTACAAGGGTCACACAGCACTAAGAGGGAACCGCTTCAAATTGAGTGGGAAGCGTGACACAGTGAGCATTGCTTGAACACATGTGTATGATATATATATATATATATATGTATGTGTTTACCTGAATATGTATACATATATATATATACGTATGTCTTAGGATAGGAACAGCTCCAGCAAAGTGAGAAAGGATCAAATGCTGGCTTTGCGGGGAGTGACGTGATTCACGCCTGTGAAGTAGCCGACTAAACCCTGAACCCTGACCAGCTGCCCCTAAACTCCACTAAGTCCATCTCAAGAGTACAGCCCAGCAAAGCGACTTAGCCCGCCTCACCAACTCCTTTCGAAACCTGAAACGCACTGAAACGAGGGAATGCTCAAAGCAGAAACAGAAAATTATGCCTAGTCTTGCTGGCTCTCAGCAGGGAATGAGTTGGATTGACCCCGAAAACAACCATCCTCTATGGCTTTCTTTCTTTATGCGGAAATCCTGAAACGGTTCATTCCCGGGACCCGGAAACCCGGTCATTTCCCTATCGCACCAGCAAGGTTTGGAGAAAAGGACCGAACCAACCCCCGATTGTCCAGCCGAATCAAAATGGCGCCTGTGGGCAGTCGCCCGTCCCAGGCAGTGTAGACCCGGAGTCCCTGGCGGGCCAGTTCGGCGCAGAGCCTCGAAGCACGTGGGACGCTACGGCAAATGGGGTGCTGAATTTTTGGGAGGGTACCCTTTTTTGGGTGGGGTTAACTGGGGGCCAAAAGAAAAACCACCTATTTTGGAGGTCCCCATCTCTTTTGACACATACCCAATGAGAAAATCGCGCGCAACACACCAAACAGTACAGCTTCTGGGGTCGGGAGGTACGGTCAAACCGTTTGAATCCCGAAGGTTGAAATCCCATGTGGTGTGATACGTTGGCCAATTTGGTTCTGCAGTTCTGAGGCCCCTGCTGAATGGCAGTGGGTGTCTTGCTGCCATGAAGTATGACTACCTGCAAAAGAACCAGATGCCAAGATAAAAGGCCGACCCCCCATTTAAAAAAAAAAAAAAGATTTGGGCCAACAGGCCAGCACTGTGAATGTTTGATCACAGGTTGTATTGGGTCACAGGACACAATTGTTCAGCGAGTGTCAGAATTCTCCAATGGAGGCTGGGCGTGGTGCTTCAAACCTGCTTCAAAAACCTGCGGTCACCGTATGCCACCCACAAACGGCTAAACATGGCATACATCCGAAAGCATTCAGCCGATTGTCGCCCCAAATTGAGCCGTGACTCAGCCGAAACATTCAAGTCTTCAAGTTCGAGTGTCCATTCAACGAGCTGTTTACTTCTGTGGCGGTCGGGGCCAGCAGACGTATCCCCCTGGCCCTCTCGCCTGCTCATCTCTGCATTCTTCTTGCGGCTCTTGCTGTTCCAGCATTCGAAGCTTATCCCATAAACCCTGGCAAGACTAAAGTGCTACGGCCCTGCGCTGCACACCGATGGTGCAAGTAAGACTCGCCAAGTCCACTTGCGCGAAGTTCGTTGCTTTGTGTCCACTTCTGCTGCTGAGGCCCTTGATCAAACCACAAGTGTCACGCAGCCATCTGGAGCCAAACGGCTGGCCGGCGGGTCCTGACCAGCAGTCTTCAAGTTTTGTTTGCCAGTGGGCCAATCACGCTCTTCAGGCCAAAACAATGCCAAACGTTGGGCAAAGTTTGTGGAAAGCTCAAGGCGAGTCTTCTTGCAAGGTAGGAGTTTGCTTTGGGGAGGAGATTTACATGAGGGATTTGTGTCCACCAACCATCTTTCAGGGTGTTCCAAATGAAGAAGAAAAAAACGGTCAAGGCTCACATACACCGAACACCGGGCGCCAGGCCCCTGTGAGGTCCAACCCCAGCTGAGATACATCCTCCGCCACCAGCTCGTAGGGCTCTGCCTGCGCACAGGCGGGAAAAATCAGGTGTCTTGCATGTGCTTTTGTCCTCCACTTGACTCTGAAACTCAGCTCTGAAGATCCCAAAGCAGGGTGTTGGCAACGAAACTCCTGACACTTCAAACCCGCCCCGCCCCAGGTGCGCTGCCTGTGTCTCCGTGGGCCGCCAGAACTCCTGGTCGGCCCCTGCAATCGCCGGTGTGACCGCCGGCGCAATCGCCGGTGTGACCGCCGGCGCCATCGCCGCTGCGATCACCGGGGCCGCGGCCACAGAGGCCACTGGTGGGTTGCGCAGGAAGCAGAGCTTCAAGGGCCGCGTGGAGAGCAACGCCTCGCTGCTGGATCCATCGGACGAGCGCCGATCGCCACCCCTTCACCAGATCCAAACGCGCTGTGGCCAGTTGAAACGAATAGGAAAAAGCAAGGCGCCTCCAGGACCTCCGGCTCCTTCAGCTCCTTCACATCCTTGCCATCCAGGCTGCTCAGCTCCAGGCCCGGCTTGAGGCCCTTCTGCTCCCCCCAGGAACCGGACAACACCTGGCCGTATGCGTCGAAGCAAAACTCTGGTGCTATGTGGCCGCATGTCTATTTGCTGAAGTCCCCCGGAAAGTGAAAACATTTCCAGTGGTCACGCATCCCCTTTAAGGCCAACAGGAGAACATAAAAGAATACTCTTAAGCAAATGGAAGTCATCTTTAAAAAAAATCCCCGCCGGTGGACGTCTCACCCGCCTGCGTCACCACCAGCCTCTCCGACTCAAAGCCACCCACCAGGAAGCCCAGCTGTGTGTCGCGGCTCTTGGCTTCCAGCATCAGCACTCGGCCTTGGACTTCTCGATGCACCTCGCGCATTTGGGCACGTCTGTACTCAAAGGGTCTATCGGGTACGTCAGGCAAGCGGTCAGTAAGCCTGGCTACAACCCACCTAGAAGACTTACAACCACGGCCTTCGTGGGTTAGTACCCACTTAGTACCCACTCAGTACCCGATCGCCCCCAAGCGCTCAGTTGCAACAACCACAAAGCGGCACCGAGACCCGCGACCCGATCGGCATGGGATCGCCTGGTCTGCCTCCCAGGTGGCCACCGAGGTCTCCGCCTCTGCCAAGGACCGGCGCAGGCGCTGCAGCTCCTTGACCTCCTCTCGGTTGCTTTCTGCTTCCCTGCTAAAGTTTAACTTTTGGTTTAATGGAAAACCCACTAGTTGGCAAAAAAGTCAAAGTCCTACTATCCAAGGAAAATTCACCAAAGTCCTCCAGCTGCGCTGCCCCCAGAGCCCGCAGCTCCGCCTCCCGTGCCTCGGGGCCAAGGATTGACTGCGATAGATGGGGAAAATTAATGCCGGGTTTCCGGGTCTTGGTTGAATGAACTGTTTCGGACTCTATAGCAAATGTGTCTGTTGTTTTTGTTGTTGGTTGTTTATTGTTTGCTTTTTTGTTTTTTTCTCCGGGCTGGTTCCATGTCTCATTCCCTGCTGAGAACCAGCCAGAAGAAGTCGAGGGCAATCCAACGCAGTTGTTGACCGACAGAGATCGTGAACACATGAATGCTAAGGTAAGGTTGCTTTATCAACATCCATCGATAAAATCTGAACGCCATGTCACAACACTAAACAAATCTCTCCCTTCCCCTTCCCTTCCCTTCCCATCCCCTTCCCTTCCCCTTCCCTTCCCTCCCCTCTCCAGTCGGGTGAAAGTAGGCGGCACAATCCCCCCCACGTCTGCCGGGAACTGTTGCATCTGCTTTCACCCCATCTCCCCCGGCTGTGTTTGAAAGGAAAGACACGGAATCCTACACAGAAGAGCTCAAAGGCACCGGCCATGCAGACTGCATTTTTTCAAAAAAGGAACCTCCCGAACGGCTTCGGTTTCCGGGCGGGCACTGAGCCTCGAAAAACTAAAACAGAAACCCACTTAGACTCCGGATCTCGTTCGGTCGCCTGCAGCGCCTCCTCCCGCTGCGCGCTCTCCAGGGCGAGCTGACGGCCCCTCTGCTGCAAAGTGGCGGACAGCTCCTCAAAAGGTGGGGCAGACTCCAAGGCTGACGTGACACCACTGGGAGTTTCTGAAAATGGCTTATGAGCCTTGATTGAAATTCGAAGTGAAACCACAAGGAAACCGTTTCCCGGCAAAACACCCAATTCTCACTTGCTCCCCCAAGATGCTTGACTTCCTCGCTGATTTCCCTTCAAATACCAGCGCCATGAGAACCCCCCCCCACTGGCCCCGCGACTTGCTCCTGGGCCCGCAGCTCCGCGCGCTGCGCCATCTGCTCCGCCGCCTTCTCCATGGCCTCCGTCTCCCGCTCCTGGCGCATCGAGCGATCGAATTGGAGCCGGGGCTGGGGGTAAGGGGAGATAGCCCGGGGACCAAACCGGGAAACTCCTGCGGGCATCACAAGGGCCCCCACAAGGGTTCACAGGGGTGGACCACTCAAAATCAAAAAGCTGCGGGCCGGTCAGGGAAGCACAAGGGGGATCGCTGTGGGATTCTCACGAAGCTGCTCTGAAGAGCCGTCGAAGTTCTTTCCGATAGGGATCAACCGTAAACCAAATTGATGGCTCATAGGCTCACAGGGGTGGTTGGTTCTGGGCTTTTGGAATCCTAGGGATCCACTTGATTTGGCAACAAATAAAACATGGTTCATTCATGCAACTGAACCGGTCGTCAAGCGGGCCCAAGAAAGCAACTGGATGGGGTGCCTGGGGTGCCCTTGAGAAACACCAAAAAACATCACTCAACGTTGATGCAATTGAAAGGAACTTGACGCATCCTAGGTCATGAGTTGCTATTGCCCCAAGAGAACCGAAGCGTGCCCACCTTGCAGATGGGCGTCTCTTTTGAGGTGGGACCCCCAAAAATGGCAACGGTTTCCTTTCGGTGTCCCTTGAAAACCCACCAAAACAGGTACCGAGCCTCCACAAAAGGACACACCACCCATGTGAAGCCAAGAAGAACACCCTGTCCACGCCCATCCACCCTCCCCTTCATAAGTGCCCTTTTTGCTTGGTTTGCTTGGAAATAAATGGCCCTGATAGATGAATAAACCACCTGCTAAACCAGAAATCGCCATCTATTTCTACCCAAACCGACCAAAAACAAACACCAGCAGCCTCCCCTTTTCCTCAAGAAGAGACACACCCACCCACGTGAACGGCCAAAAAGAGCCTCCCTATGCCCATCCAACGGCCGACCCCCGCTGCCCCCGCTGCCCCCCGCCTGCTTGAGCACCGCGTGGTCGCGCTTCCGCAGCGCGCTGCGCAGGTCCTCCTCGCCCGCCTTCAGCGCCAGCTCCCGCAGCTTCAGGGCTGCGGCCACCTGCTGCTCCGCGCGCGCGGCGCCCTGCAGCTCCTGAGCTGCTCGCACCCAAGAAACAGAACGAACACCGGAGCCGGGGTTGGTCGACATGGGCTCCCAGTTCCCAAATTTTGTGGGAAGTCAACGGTTGAAATGCCCCCGGAAAAGCCGGGGGGCTGGGTTTTTGATAGAATCCGGGACAAACTCTTTTGTTTGCCGGTGCAAAACCACAGGTCCCTTGAGAATTGGCGCAATGAGTGCCGGCTTGGCTCTTTCCATGCAAAGAACACACATCTCTAGCTGCAAAGATCTAGGAGCAGATGGCTGCAAAAGATGTGCTGAAAATGACAAAAGCCAAAAAAATCAAGTGGCTTGCCATGGCAACAAACCACTGTTACATTTGAGTGCAGTAACAGAAAGGTTTCTCAGTCACAAAGACACCCTTCTGACATTGCGTCTGGCACAAAGCTAGCGCACAGTTTTTTGCGCTGCTGGCAACTGGATTATTGTTTGTTTGCTAAAATTCCGCAAAAATGGCAACGCGTATGTCCAACTCTCCCACTCAATTTCCTGCTTGATGGAAGAATTGATTACTCATGGGCAAGTCAGCTCAAGAGAGGCTTGTGTTGCAGCTTGTGTTGCTACAGCCATCTCAAGTGACAGCCATCACAATCAGGGTTCCACTTTTTTGACTTCCCCAAGACAGGCTTCAACCCAGGGGACCCTGATCAGAATGACTAGGTATACATATTTTCCTGGCTTTGCCCTGGCACTCTTGCCAAAAAGGCCACCGTCTCTCCTGCTCCTTCTGCTCCCAAATGCTCAAGGCATCACGCTCCTGGCAAGTCAGCAGAAAATGCGGTGTCGCCAACTCACCCTTTGCCTTTCGGTAGCCCACCTTGACCTGCAAACATGTGGGGCGTTGTTCTTCGCAAGGAATGCTTCCCCAGTGGCTGCAATAAAGATGAATGATGACCTATGTAGATCAACCTGATTGATAGGGACGGACATGAGGAGGAACACCGTTTTGAAGCATAATCCCAAACCACGCAAACAGCCCCTGTACTAGCTCCTCCATTTTCAAGCGACGTGACTTCAGGCTAGAAAAGCGAGAAAAAAAGAAAACGCAAACTACAAGTCCAATCAAAACACCTGCCCAGTTCATGGTCAAGTCAATGGTCCAAACGCATGTTAGCGCGCATGGTTATTTCTGGATTGGTTACCACTAGTTTGATCTCCAAACATGAAACACGACAAGAGCCTCGCTATGCCTGAAAACTTTTGCGCAGGACCCATCCTGACTCTGGACATCACAGCCACATACATCCACCATCCAAAAACAAGTCACATTCGGAAGAATGGTCGTTCTCCTTCTTCCAGGGCGCCTTAGTCGTTCAGGGTCTTATGTGGTGTTGATGACCTTTAACTAACAACTCGAACAAAACTTCAAGTGGCAACGGTTCCGCTTCTGCTTGTGAAACCCGCAAAGGGTACCGCTTCTTTCAACGCATTGTTCTCCAAAATATGTCATCTACTTGGCCGGCCATGAGGAAAGAGGGCTTGGCCTCTTGTAGCCGTCCATTTTGAGAGGTTTGCCTTTTGTAGCTCTCCATTTGGAGAAGTTGGCCTGAAGAAAAACCAATCGCAACATCCGAAGGCCGCACTCTCTCAAAGCTCTCGGACACTTGGGCCTTGATGGCCAGCTGGGACTCCCACTTCAGCACTTCTTGCGCAGCCTGGTCCTCGCCAAAACTTGGGACCCGGGACAGGAAGGCTTGATAGAACCCAAGACCCTCGATAGAAACCCTGGCGATTGTCTGAAATCCGACCATGCTAAGCTCCAAGAAACCAAATATTCAAACCACCATGGCAGGCTCTTTCCCCTCAAATCAATGACAAGACAATAAAACACAAACGCCCCCCCCCCCCCCCCCGCGCGGTCCTCCATGCGCCGCATCTCCGCCTCCTCCCGCAGCGCCTCCGCGCGCGCGGCGAGCGCCGCCCGCTGCGCCTCCGCTGCTTTCGCCTCCGCCGAGGCCAGGCTCTGCCGCTCCGCGCCCACCTCCGCGCACGCGGCCTCGCGCGCGTAGAACCTGCGTGTCTGAGGCGCCTTCGTTTGCTTCCAAAAAATGAATGAATTTTAGGTGCTTCCCAACATAGATTTCGGTGTTGTTGCAAATCTCGCCAAAAAATGGAGGTACCAACTCCCTTCCCGCTCATTGGTTTGGCTTGGTGCAGGTGTTCCAAGAGTGCTCCCAGTTACCCGCCAACCCAAAGCAGCAACCAAAGGCTACCTGATGTTCAAAGCGAAAAACAGATGGGCTCGTGGTGGCTGTGCGCGATTGAACGGGTTGCAACAGGCAAGCGGAAAGAAGTGGATGGGAGCGTGTGCTTTTTGGTGGTCCTTCAACTGGCGGTTGGCCTAATGTGGAGGTTGGAGGGTACAGCCCTCTCATTTGATTGAGGCAACCTACTCCACCCATGCGATTGCAAACCATTAAGTAAACCAAATGTTGAATTGCCAGAGTTGGTTGCCTGGAGAGTTAGACAAAAACAATTGTCACCCAAAATGTGAAAAAAGCCCTTTGGTGGGCATCATCTAAACGGGAAAACGTGTCCGCCGAGCATTTTGCAGAACATGTGCATCAGTACTCCTAAATCCTGGCCACTGGAAATCCTATGAGTCTCAAAAGGCTAATCTAAAGGACTAAACACTTGAAGCGTTTTGTTGTGGTAGGATCATGACGCGATTTGGCTACTAGCCACCCACAACCCCATTCGAATGGGTGTCGTCTTTTAGCTTCTCTTGTTTTTCCTTGAAACCGCCCCCAAAAAAGGGGTAGCTTCAACAACAAACACACCCAAATCTGTAGGCCGTTGAAGTACCAAACAAATGGGCGACAACCCCCCCCCCCACTCCCCCCCCCCCAAGTCCCCTCCCCCCAACCACCCCCCCCCCCCTTTCCCCCTCGCCACCTGGCGGCCGCGGCCTCCTCTTTCTCCGCCTGGGCGGAGGCCACTTGGGGCGCCAGCAGCTCCCTTTCGCGCTGCTCGTACCTGGCCAGCGCCTCAACCTCCCGCTGCTTCTCGCGGGCCTCGCTCTCCTCGGCAAAAAGCAGAAGGAACACGAACGGGACAGGTCGCCTTTTTGAGGGCACCCCCGCTTTGGTGGGTTTTGAAAGGAAACCAAACGGAACACCCACCATTTTGGGGGTCCAAAAAAGAGGACGCGCCCAATTCGAGATCATCCCAAGCATCAAATGCATCATGTAACACACGTCGCACTTCGAAACACGACATGCCATAAAGAGGCAAAGCATCAGAGCATGAAGACAAAACAGCAAAAACACACACACACAAAAAAAAAGTCTGCCTGGAGGATCTCCTTTTCCCTTTGCTCCAGCAACAGCTCCCAGTTCTTCACCTCCTTGGCCACTTGCTCCTCGCACTCCGCTGTGACCTTCTCCCGGCTCTCCGCCAGCTCCAAAGCCTCTCATGGCAAAAAAAAAAAAACGATGGAAAAGCGGGGCATGTCTCTTTCTGCTGAAAATAGAAACAGAATAGATCCCGGAAAATGTGTCCCGTACGCCGTACGCCATAGCTGTCGTCTAGAGTACGATCCAGACAAGGTATTCCAGTATTTTGTCATTTTGTCGGGATGGGGTAGACACCTGCGGAATAGAGCGAAGGTACAGGGGAGTCATAGGTTTGGGGACGCTCTTAGCTGGAACATCCACCAACCTGATTCAAGTTGTGCCTTTCAAGTCAAGGCTTCATGTTCACACAAATGCTTAGACCTAGTGCGCTTGATGTGCCCGATACACGAACTATATGAATACGTGCGTTTTTAGGTATATACACTTGCTCATTTGGCCTGACAAGAAATACAACACCTGTGTGTGTGTGTGTGTGTGTGTGTGTGTGTGTGTGTGTGTGTGTGTGTGTGTGTGTGTGTGTGTGTGTGTGTGTGTGTGTGTGTGTGTGTGTGTGTGTGTGTGTGTGTGTGTGTGTGTGTGTGTGTGTGTGTGTGTGTGTGTGTGTGTGTGTGTGTGTGTGTGTGTGTGTGTGTGTGTGTGTGTGTGTGTGTGTGTGTGTGTGTGTGTGTGTGTGTGTGTGTGTGTGTGTGTGTGTGTGTGTGTGTGTGTGTGTGTGTGTGTGTGTGTGTGTGTGTGTGTGTGTGTGTGTGTGTGTGTGTGTGTGTGTGTGTGTGTGTGTGTGTGTGTGTGTGTGTGTGTGTGTGTGTGTGTGTGTGTGTGTGTGTGTGTGTGTGTGTGTGTGTGTGTGTGTGTGTGTGTGTGTGTGTGTGTGTGTGTGTGTGTGTGTGTGTGTGTGTGTGTGTGTGTGTGTGTGTGTGTGTGTGTGTGTGTGTGTGTGTGTGTGTGTGTGTGTGTGTGTGTGTGTGTGTGTGTGTGTGTGTGTGTGTGTGTGTGTGTGTGTGTGTGTGTGTGTGTGTGTGTGTGTGTGTGTGTGTGTGTGTGTGTGTGTGTGTGTGTGTGTGTGTGTGTGTGTGTGTGTGTGTGTGTGTGTGTGTGTGTGTGTGTGTGTGTGTGTGTGTGTGTGTGTGTGTGTGTGTGTGTGTGTGTGTGTGTGTGTGTGTGTGTGTGTGTGTGTGTGTGTGTGTGTGTGTGTGTGTGTGTGTGTGTGTGTGTGTGTGTGTGTGTGTGTGTGTGTGTGTGTGTGTGTGTGTGTGTGTGTGTGTGTGTGTGTGTGTGTGTGTGTGTGTGTGTGTGTGTGTGTGTGTGTGTGTGTGTGTGTGTGTGTGTGTGTGTGTGTGTGTGTGTGTGTGTGTGTGTGTGTGTGTGTGTGTGTGTGTGTGTGTGTGTGTGTGTGTGTGTGTGTGTGTGTGTGTGTGTGTGTGTGTGTGTGTGTGTGTGTGTGTGTGTGTGTGTGTGTGTGTGTGTGTGTGTGTGTGTGTGTGTGTGTGTGTGTGTGTGTGTGTGTGTGTGTGTGTGTGTGTGTGTGTGTGTGTGTGTGTGTGTGTGTGTGTGTGTGTGTGTGTGTGTGTGTGTGTGTGTGTGTGTGTGTTTTGTTGTTTTTCACGAACCCTTGGCCAAGGTAACGAAAGGTAGCCTATCTTGTCACTTTAAGCATCACCCTACCAAAAGCAAAGTCGCTTCAAAGTCGCCCAAAAATATGACTAAAAAACTTGAAACTGCCCTTTTCGTTGCGAGATTGTCTGCAAATGCAAAAGCACTGGCTCCTTCTTGGTGTCCGTTTGTAAAATATGTTTGGAAGGGGGGACCCCTTTTTTTGCCGCTGAAATGTGTCTTGTTCCGGCAATTTGGACCGAATATACTGGGTTAATTGAAGTGGTTCAAGTGGGGTTCCCGCGCCAAAGACCAGTTGCGAGAATCCCTCGCAATGCCTTCCCAATTTGAGAGGCACCCTACACGTGGGTGTCTCAAAATAGGGAGCCTCCAAAAAGGATGGCTCCCTTGTGGCTTCCCTTTGAACTACCCTCCCACCGATTCACATGACCCGACGTCCGCGAGCGTTGGGAGGTCCCCAACTCCCAGGCCCCTCCAAGCCCCTCCAAGCCCCTCGATCCCTCACTCCCTCGCTCCCTCGCTCCTGGTGCGCTTCCTCCGCGGCCGCGGCCGCCTGGCCCTGCTCCTGCCGCAGCTTCCGCAGCTCCGCGCCCAGCTCCTCCCCCGCGCGCTGCCGCGCCGCCACGCCCTCCGCGGAGACCAAGCGCCGCGCCTCGGCCGGGGGCAAGCGGTGGCGGCGGCGGCGGGGGGTGGTGGTGCCAAAGTGACCGATGCGCGTGACTACTTTGTTACTTGCTAGGGGGAATTTGCTTGGCATCACAAAAAGTGGCCCTAAAACCATGGTCTCTGAGCCCCGGCAACAAACATGACCCTTGTCGGCTGGATTGTGAGGAACTTCTGTTGTTTTGCAAAAAAAACAAAAAGGCGATGCTCCTGCACATGAACATGAAACCCACCAAACTACCATGTTTAGTTGGAGTGACCCCATTCTTGTAGCTGACAAGGGGGAGTGATTGAGAACGGGTGTTAGTTTTTGGAGCGTTTGACTATTGAGGATGTCTGGTTGGGCTCAATTTCCAAATGGTTCATCCATTGTCTCAAGCTTCATGCTCAAAGGCATCCCCAACACCAGTGCGCATGTCGCCTTCTATGTCATCATGATGAACATCGTACACACTGCTGATGCTCCTTGCCGATTAACAAGCATCACACGTGGTGCTTGGCAACATGAGACAGCAAACGCGTCAAGCCGTGCAAAACAACAAAGCAAACGACCCCAGGAAGCCCAACATGTTGCCGCTCCGCGCTGCGCGCCTCCTGTGCTTCTGCGAGCGCCTCTTCCACTCGGCCCTCCTGCGGGTTGATGGCGAAGCTGTTGCATCTTAAAACTCGCGATTCGCGTCGCGTTTTCAAGACATGGATGACGAATGCCTCCAATTTGCTGACCACAAGCCATCAGCACGCGTTTATGTGCCAAACATGCTTCAATCCAAACCTCGTCCCACCCTCACGTCAAGAAACACGCCTCGCACCCCGCAGCCTCGACTTCCCTCAACTTCCGACGGTCAGCTCTGCCCCGCCTCCCCCCGAAGCTTCGCCAGCTGCTCGTCCAACTCCCGGCGTGCCGCTTCCTGCGCCTCCGCGCCCTCGGCGCGCGCCGCCGCGCAGGCCTCGCACCGGTGAAAAGAAAAAATGAAAAAAAGACACAAAAAGAAAACACGGGTGGGATCCCCCGGCCAAAAAGTCCGGCACTCCTTCACAAGGGGTTCACTATGCTTCGGGGTGTTTAGCGCTTTGGTTTGCCCCTCAGTAATCCTTCAAAGCCTAGTCCAGCACCCAACCGAGTGCTGAAAACACCCCAATGCACTCACAAGAATTCAAACACTCTAATACATCCTCTCAATGGCAGATCCCAGAACAGCTCACACGCTGCGACTGTGTGTAAGGTGAATCCGTGTCTGCGGGACCAGGCGTCGGCCAGCCCGGCCCTGCTGATCATGTCCGCCCAGTTGGATTTGGACTCGACCCACTCGTAGTACATGTGGCAGCGCAGGGCCATGCAAGCCACATGGATGCGTACTACTCATGATGTCAAGGTCCTTGACGTTGCTGCGACCACGCACGAGAGCCATGAGGGCCGCGATGTTGTCGATGAACCACAAGCAGCGCTGTCCCCGGAAGACCTCCGGAACAATGTGAGGGCGACCAAGACGACCACGAGCTCTAGCTGGGCGATGTGGAAACCATTAGGGCCCCACCGCTGGTACAGTGAGGGGGGGATACGAACCACCGCCCCGCACCGCTGTTCGTCATGGTCGGGGTCCAAGACCATGAGAAATCCAGCGGTGCCGTGGAGAGGCCGCTCCAAAGCTGCGTCCGAGGCCACAAGCATGCGGCGAACCTTGCAGGCTGCACATGCCATTCTCATTGAGGGCGCTCCTGCAACAAGGCCCGAACCATGTCAAAACATTGCGGAGTGAGGTCCGTGTCCCTGCTGTACTGACGCTCCTTGAGGGCATTGAGGCCTGCACGCCCTACCTTGCCAAAAATGCCCTGCTCGAAGAAGTTGAGGCAGCTGTACATCTTGCTGGCGGTACCAGGACGAAGCGACTGTTGGATCTTGGTCTCAAGACGGTGACGGGCCAAAAAGAGACTACTCCCGTGACACACACCTAGGAAATGCCGTGGAGAAGGCCCAAGAAGTCATCTGTGCTGGCAAGAGGTTGCCGCTTGGCTTCGGCCCACGGGGTGCCCAGGGCATCCATGACGCGGGCCACTGCCGCCTGCCCACTTCCCTATGTTGCCGTCATCGAAGTACATGGAGAACAACATGCCAAGAGTCCGGCGTACGAGGCACTCGGAAGGCAGTAACCGCCGGCAGGCCGAATAACATACCAAAGTAGACCTGGTAGGCGGGAGTATTCCACTCCAGGTGCCACCAGACCACAATGCATGCCATACTGTGTCATGGGAGGATGGGAACCTGTCGGTATGCTTCTGTTGATTCCATGGAACAAAGACTGGCTGACTTGTGTAACCCTTTCGGCGCAGCTCGGCTGACAGAGACACCATGGAAAACCACAATGAGAAACGATGTAAAACAGGCAGAGAGATAATCCCTGGCCATGGCGGACGAGGTTGTCCGTAGGGCGCTTCAAAGACCACTTTGGGTGAAGCCTCAAGAACCCCCTGCTACTGCCCACCGCAAAAACCGCACCATCACCTCCTGACCGAAAAAAACCAAAGCAAGCGCAAGCTCCCCTCCCAGTCCCACAGAAAAATCCCCAAGCCAACGAAACAACCAGCGACCGGACCGGCTCAGCTGCCTCCGCCTGGGCCTCCATCGCCTCGCCCCGTGCCAAGGTTGCCTCCTCCTGGCGCCGCCGCAAAGTGGCCGCCTCCTCCATCAGCTCCGCCTGGAAGTTGAACCTGGGGTTGAGCTGAGTCTCTGACTCAGCTCAAACCACCTCAGGCACCCCTTCGATTTGGAGCGGCGACTGGAATTTGGAGTTAAACCCCTCTGCTCCAGGCCCAACCTGACAACCCTGCTGCCTTTTGGGCCCCGCGCCTGGCAGCCGCCGCTTCCTCGTGCTCCGCTTTGGCCGAAGCCACCGCGGGCGCCAGCAGCTCCTCCTCCCGCTGCTGGCAGCGACTCAGCACCTCTGCCTCCAACTCCTCCGCCCGCACCGCGTTTTCCTTGACAAACCCGCCGAAAGAACCGGCGATCCCCGGCCAAATATGGAAGGCACCGCCAAAAACCTGCACTTGCCATGTGCAGCCACTATGCCTCAAATAGGGTTGTGGTTGTGTGGCAGCAGTTGACCCGGTTCACCTGCAAATTTTGGGACATGCATAGGCCGGTGGGCAGGCGGAAGGACCACACGGCATCAGCCAGAGCCAGGAGCCAGGGGAGCAAAGCGTCTGCACAACTCGGGCTTTGACAAAAAAACTGCTGGCAGGGACGCAGAGCGCCAACACAGCAGCAAGGTAGTGACAAAAGAAACGGCCCCAAAGACGAGCATCTGAGCTGAGCGCCTGCTCCTGCTGCTCGCTTTTCTCTTGCGCCTCCACCTTGGCCTCGAGGGCGCCTTCCTCCGTGGTGCAAGGCGCCGAAGCCTTGCAGCTGGCTGGTTTGAGCGCCCGGTGACGCAGGGCAAACCG